AAAACCACAAATAGAATTTCCAGTTTAATAAAAGACTTTTTCTATCTTGCTAAACTATTCTCACTCATTATTCTGGAACTCAGGTCCACCACAACATTATCAGAAGTGTAGAAAATTAACCACAAATTGAGAACCAACTCTCAATTCAATTGAGAGAAACAAGGCAAAGAGGAATAATATTTCAATTAAATAAACCAAGCCCTATAATATTAATTTAATTATACATTGCAATGCTCCACAGTGAATTTGAAAAATCAATGAATCAAGGTTAAAAAACTTATTAAAATGCCACTACATATCACTATGAAAGAGTTAAAGTAGGTTTCTGACATCTGTGCTACATTTAACTAATAATCAAATCTTACCTGTTCACACTCATACAAATCAACTGATCTATGTAAATATTTTTATTTTCTGCAAAGCTATCGTCCTTTGTTTTAAAGCAAAATTGTGGGGGTTGTTTTGTTTTGTTTTGTTTGCAGTTTTTGGCTGGGGCTGGATTTGAACCCACCACCTCTGGCATATGGGCCAGCACCCTACTCCTTTGAGCCACAGGTGCCACTCCAAAATTATGTTTTATAGGTTTAAAAAGATACTACTCAGTTTACTTAAAGATCTGTGGTATTAAGAGCTTGATTTATGACTCTCTGGTACAGCAACTAACTAGCTAACGCATGGTAAGGGAAGTCAGGGGAAAATTAAACTCATGCCAAAAGGGCTTTATTGGCCAGCAAAAGAATTTCCAATAAAGGTATATCTCCTCTAAGAATCCTACTTAACTAACCATGTCAGAACTATTCAAAAAGCCCTTTGGTGCTTGCTCCGGCAGCACATATACTAAAATTGGAACGATACAGAGAAGATTAGCACAGACCCTGCGCAAGGATGACATGCAAATTCGTGAAGCGTTCCATATTTTTGGTCCTTTTTCTGAAAGTCATAATAAATTCTGAATTTCATTATCTAAAAAAAAAACAACCCTTTGGTTTCTAACATTCTATAGAATGTTATAGTAGTTCTACTACTTCCTTGCCATTGGATATATCTTAAAGTCTTTCATCAGACTACAACTTAAATTTAAAATTAGTCAACCACATTATCTTATCTGGGTTTTGTTGGTGCTTATTTGGTTTTAGTGACGGGGTCTTGCTATGTTGCCCAGGGTGGAGGTCAGTGGTTATTCACAAACATGATCATAGTGCACTACCGCCCCAAAATCCTGGGCTCACGTGATTCTCCCACCTCATCCTCCCAACTGGATGCTAAAATCAGTGGGGAAATGGGTGATGAGAAGCAGGATATTTATATATAGCCTCAGAGCATATCCCCACAAAGGACTTATTAAGTGGGAAAGGAACAATAGTAACTTTATAGTGCAGTTGTAACTATAATAATAAAAAATAAATGACAACAAAAAAACCCCCAAAACCCATAATAGTACTTTAAAACTATCACCTCCTGGGCACAAAGCAAGCCAGGGCACCGTAACTGTACTAGTAGTCACCATACTCTTCACTACCACAAACCGGCAGGAGAAAAGGGGAAAAAAGAAGAAAAAGATTTTCACTTGAGAATATTTACTTATTCATTTTATTAAACCTAAACCCTTGAAGATACATCTTTTTAACATTCTGTGGGACAAAAGAGAAAGTGAATATAAAGCACATCTACTTCATATCAAAGTATCATGGTTGTCACAGGGGAAAACACTTGTGTGACTGAGGGTGTTTCTACGGAACACCATTTTTACTTGAATGAAAAGGTTTGTGCAAAAATAAATTTATCCTTGAAATGAACCAAGTATGATTATTTAGATTTAAGCGTTCGGCATTTTCTTAAAAGTAAACAACGTAAGCCTGTCGTGTCAAGGAAAACAACTGATAGATAGCATTTGTGGCCAATGATAAAATGTGGGCTTTCAAGGAAAAAGTCAAATACTAGAAAGCTCATATCCACCACCATAAGCTTAACAGCTTCAAATCTGACACACTCTGAAAGGATCAATGGTAATATTAACAAATGTGATTTCTGGATATTGTACAATGAAAGATGACATTTGTAAGATCTGCATAACTCACAACCACCATTTTACAAATGAACAATCATGATGATGAAAATCATGCATGGGCAAAAGATCCACTCTAAGTTCAAAATAGGCCAAGAGACTGTAACGTAAATGAGTGTGAAAAGTTTCTTGATAGGGTCTAAGTTTCCAAATTGGAATTGACCTTTAAGGGTATATACCACTTGTTAGGTTTTACAAGATAACAAAAATATGTACAATTATCAGAAAAGCCTATTGAGTTACTCTTCTCTTTTCAAAACTACACATCTGTGAAGGGCCAGAACTTCTTCATATTCTTTAATCAAAAATAACATACTGCAACAAGTCGAATGCAGAAGCAGATACGTCTCCCTTCGGGCATTAAAAGAGATGTGCAAAAGTATAAAGCCATGTCATTTTCTCATCACTTTTTAGAAATTATGGTTATTATTCATAAACGTATTAACAAGTAATAAGTATTCTTGAAAATAAATCAAATAAAGTAAATATCTTTAAAATTTTGCACTTTTAACTTATATTTCAGTAAATATCAACAGATGTAACCCACATAGACAAAAATTCTTTGAGGTCATCAATATTTTTTCAGAGTGTAAAAGGATTCGGAGAACATACAGCCTGAAGACTTACGATATAGTTGTTCCCAACTTCGGAGAGTCTAAATTAAGAAATAAGCAGGTTTGACACTATACATGTGCAAAAATAAATTTATCAAAGAATTAGAAAAAGAAACCCATTGTTGCCCAACCATAAGAAAATGAATGGCACATCTAAAATGTGATTACTGTTTATTTGAAATAAAATTCTGACAGAATGCTCACAAAATATTGAGCAGAAATCTACAAACTATGTAAGCGGAGACAGCAATAAGCTGAAAAAAAGACCGAAATCTACAAACTATGTAAGCAGAGACAGCAATACACTGAAAAAAAGACTGGAAGGAAGAAAAACACTAGAGTTCAATATGAAAATGCAACTCACCAAAAAAATAACTACTATTGTTATTGTTATTAATATTAAAACCAATCAAGGCAGCTTGGTATAGAAGTCTGAACTGACAGTCAAGAAACCTACTGGTTTCTTTAATGGCTAACCCACTGTTTGGCCATTAAACCTCTCTGAGATTTTTTCACAAGTCACTTAACCTCTCTGAACTACCAGACTCTCAGGTAAAATGAACTATCAGATCTAAAGATTATTCAAGACCTTTGCAAGGATCATCTAAAATCAGGGTTAAAGTAAAAACTGTGAAAACAACTTCAAAATTGTACCTTTTGCAGAATTCTGACCCAACATACTAAATAGTTCTTTAATCCTCTTTTTTGCAGATTAGTAGTTCAGCCTCTCTAAATAAAGTTGGAAGAAGAGTTAAGGTTCCTTAATCTCTGAATGGTATTTGGGGGAAGTGAAAAATACTTGGGTATATCCTGAAAGAAAAGAAAGAAAAGAACATAAGTGAGACAGCCTAGTGTCCCACATGATGGGAGCCTTTCACCAGTGCTGGAAAGAGTACTGAGTTGTTACTTATTATGGAGAGATAGGTCATATGCTACGGAAAAGAAAAAGAGAAAGAGATGTAAAAATACAAGAGTTTATGTATGTGCACAGTAAGAATATCAAAACCTATGCTCTACCTTAAAACTGCCCAGAAAAATCTACCTGTTCCCTTGGCTGACCAGCCGTCACCCATTTCACTGTCTGTGTGCAGAACTAGCAAGAGTTAATGACAGAAAATTAAATCCCAGTTTGTCAATCTTGTTCCTTGTTAGCAAAACTGATAAAATCCTAAAGCCTATAAAGAGATAAATATTGCCCTAAATTAAATCTAGATAAGATTGGGAAAAGATCCCTGGGTCCTCCAAAAACTGAGGTCAATAAAAGATCTTCAACTTTCAAATGTTTCGACTTGTACTTCAATATCCATCATCCAATAACCTCTCTTTCTTTAAGAAAATACTCCCATGCTGATGTTTGTTCTAAGTCCACACAACAAGGATGGGGAAGCGCTACATCAAGGATAACCATGCTTGGTGCCAGGAAACAAAATGGTACAGGTTTGCATTTGGTCTCCAACTAGACAAAAAAGTAAACAAATATTTTATACTTTTAACAGAACACAAATAAAATGACCTGGCTGTCCTAAACTTGTTTTTATATATAAAGTTTGGGTCTCAGTTTCCACATCCTTAAAATAAGGACTCTATATTATGTAATTCCCAAAGGGAATTTATTTCTTAGATAGTTGGAGAATCCTAAAATCACTGAAAAGAAGTGTTTTGGGGAGTTGGGAAAGAAAGTATAACCGCACGCCGGGAATGTGTGTATGTGTGTATGTATATGAGAGAGAGAAACATTCAGATCTGGTCGTTCAATGGCCGATGACCCAAGAGTGGAACCCTGGAGTACCCAGCTCTCATATTTGAGAAACTAGGTGGTGACTAAATTGCATGGTCAACAGTATGAGGAACACTCGAAAAGCATGAGGCCCCCTTAGGCCTGTGCTTCCTTGTTTATTTCCAGTGGACAACTTAAAAAGATCCTCTTTTTCCTCCTTTTGAATCTATAGCTCAGATTTCCACATTGAGAGGACTCTGCCAACCATTATTCACTATTAGCAACTGTCAATTTACCAATGGACATGTACAAAAGCACCTACTATGTGCATCCATCAGCTAGTGCATGTCAAGTTTTCAATAAACATCTGTTGACTTGAATATAATCGCAAGGCCTTGGAGGCTGCTACAGACTCATCCATCTACAGTTTTGTACGAAGGGCAGGTGAAAGAAGAAACCTGGTTATGCCATCCTTGATCTAAAGCCTGACACTCGGTGTTCCTCCCATTCATGTGTGACACGTGGTTCCTAAGTGCTGCCTGGATGGGCCAGGCACAGCTGCTGCAGGCAGGGGACTGTCAGAGGGGAAGAGAGGGACACTTACCTGGGGAACCTCTGCTTCAGCTTCCTCAGGCTCTGCCTGGTGGGCGGCACAGACACTAGGCACTGGGCTATCTCGTCGTACTGGGCTTTGGTCAGTATCATGTTGGGCCAGGGACCAGGAGGTGGCGGGGACAAGGAAAAAAATCACCCTGGGACTCAAGAGCCTTGGTGCCGGGGAATGAGAGGTGGACAACACAGCGGCACAGTCCTGGATCCTCGTCTTCCCTGGAATCAATGCCCCAGTACCCCCTGACTCACACCCTGAGCTGCAAAGGCGGGACCAAGACTCGCAGAGTCCCAGGCTTCACTCGGCACCTCCGCGGCGGGGGCCGGCTGTATACGGAATTGCCCTTGCTTGGTTTACTGAGCAGCCGCAGTTGGTCCAACCGAAGGCAATTGGTCGCCATGTCAGTTAAGGGCAAACCAACCAGGAAGTACCAGCCGCCCACAGAAAGCGCGCGGAGTCTGGGTCTAGGCGGGTGGGTGTCCTGGGCCGCGCCCACCTGGGAATTGACAAGGGTTGTTCGTGGAGTTTAAACCCCCGCAGTTACTAGACGCTAAGGAGGCCTGGCGCACAAGTAGGGCAGCAAGTCTCTCGAGTCCCCCGCGATCCTTCAGCCTGAGCCCCGGAAAGCCCCTGCCAGGGCGCGCGTTTTGAACTGGCTTCCAAACGCGCAGGTTTCAGCGCAGCTCCGAGCGGACTGGCCTGCAAAGAAACTGGGTCTATACTCCGACAAAGTCTCTCTCCGCTCTGCCAGCGTGAGCCGGGCGGTAAACCCACAAGGATCGCTCTAAACATGGTTTGGCTTTTGATAAGGAAGTCCTGTAACTTATGTAGATCTTGTGGAAAGCAATTTTGTCCTTGTCGGGAAATAGACTTAACAAATCCGACGGCACCCGACAGCCAACAGTATAGGAAGTCACTTTCACTCCGTACTGTTAGCTCAGCATAGCCTAAAATCGTGTTTTAACTGTCTTTAGAACTTCAGCTCTCAGAAAACAGTAGGCGCTCGATAAATATTTGGAGAAACGAGTTCATTTCCTGTGAGTGAATCTTAGCTTTCCAAAGGCAATTTAATGAGACATCAGTCCCTCCTTTAATCTCTTTTTAAAAATCTGGTTCTTAGAAGGCCATGCTTTTTGTTTCTTTTCTTCAAATTTTAACATTGTAAGTAAATGAAAGAAAAAGTGCTTGGATTTTAGAGAAAATGTAAGTGGTTACGAATTTTTCATCTGGAACAAAGCCTGGTTTGGATGTTTAGCTCAAATATGCCTCTTTGGATAAATTCCTTAATCCACTGAAACCTCATTTCCTTTGTCTGTAAAACTGATTTTTAATTCCTGGGGCTGTTTTTAAGATTAAATGGGATAATACAAGTAAAGGATTACTCAGCACAGTGTCCAACAGATAACCTATGTAAAATAAATAGCCTAACTAAAACAGCTTGATAAAAATGGATAGGCTTTTACCGGCTCCCCCTGCCTAGGCTAAATTAAGCTCATCACTTCCTGTGAGGCAGGTACTATGGCCATTATCAACCCCTCCTTCCTTTTGTACAGAGGGAAAAATTTGAGGCATGAAAAGGTTAAGGAATTTCTCAGAGGTCATGAGAATAAGTAAGTAGCAGGAATGAAGTGTAAACCCCTGAAATTTGGTTCCAGAGGCCATGCTCTTGCCAGCTCTCAGTAATGCTTAATTACTACCTCAAACAGTTACATTCTCTTAAGCCAAAGGTGAAGGGTTTTTTAAAGGAAAATATTCTACATTGTAAATTATCCTTTTAGCCCAGATTTTTAAAAACCTCACTATTTTTTTTCAGGCATCTCAAAGTCCTGTGGCAACAGTGGATCCTGAATTCAGTTCTGTCCCCATATGCTTTGCATCTAGCTCTGATGGTGTGACATTAGGACATAACTATTTATTTATGGCAGCCTGGCCTGCAGTTGCCACCTGGCTAGTTTGTTGCTGACCCTGCCATGACTTTTACATGAAAGCTAGCTGACGATAAGCAGGCACCAGGCCATCCCCTGTTCCTTTCCCCTTCCCAACCTCACTCTTTCACAGCCATCCGATTTTTATAAGAAACATCAGTTCAAGGATGTTCACACTAGTTATTTTTGTAGCAACTCTTCTCTTTGGCTCTTGTCCTGCATGTACCCTCGCAGCCCTTAAGGAAAATGCCAGCTTTGTTTTTCTGTTGATATTTTTAACATGCTGGCAGTGTATACTTTTGACCCAAATCCAGTAGATTGTTTTAGAGTTAATGCTGGGGGACAAAAGCAGAGTTATACGGCTGTTTTCATTGGCAGTTACAGTAGTATTATTTATTAGGCACCAAATAGAAGCAAGGCCGATTTTTTTGTGGTTTGGTTGGCTCTTTGTTTCTTGTCATGGGACCTGGTTAGAGTAAGCTGATGATTCCTCTGAGGCATCCTTTCTTTGCTTCTCCTTCTCCACCATCCTCCCATCGCTTGTCATACCCTATGCTCCTCATTTGCTGTTATTTTTCTAGAGCTCTCCATGTCTGAAGTTCCCCACTGTTTCTTAGTCAGCAGTACCTTTTGCCCACTAGATGAAGCAGGATCATGAAATGAAAACACTGAAAACCAAAAACTCAAAGAATTGGCTGTCTAAAATCAGCCATAAAATACGTACTCTTGAGCAACTGACAGCCTTTCTGATTCTGAATGTCTCCAATATAACCTCAAGAAATGGAAGAGTAGAGTCACATATGACAGGAAGAAAGAACCTAAAAATATAGAACAGATATGGGAAGCCACAGCAAGAAAAGGTGTCAAAGTAGATCTACCACAGCTCCTGGGTGGATGGGGGTAAAACACTTGACCCGGTTTCTTTCTGCCAATTTTTGGATGACAAGAATGTGGAACAATTTGAAAGGAGTGTGGCGTTTGGCAAGAAAGCAGTAGAAGGTCATTTCTAGAAGGATAATAATACAGAGGTCTAAAAATAAGAATGAGCCACGTCACCAGCCTGGGAAAATTATCCTGGCTGTAGCAAAGACGTCTAGGCCGAGTGAAAAGAGTCAAGGATGCTTGCCCTTGGGGAAAAATCAGTCATGTTTTAGTCTGTTGTTTACTGAGTCTGCCAAATTCAATGCATGATTTTAAAAATAAATACTGATATTTTCACTATAGTACTATAAATTCTGGTTCTATTGATAGAATCTCTTTTGAAGTAACCAAATTGATTATTTTAAAGAAAAATAATTGAAGTTTACTAATTGGATAAAGAAAAAGAAGGGGGCTAATAGTATTGAGTGTACCTATTATGCGTAAACTATCCCATTAGACCTTATCTCACTTAATCTTCACAGTTACCCTATGCGGTAGATCATGTATTCCTTCATTTATAGATTAGGAAACTGAGCTCATACTCTCTTTGAGTATGGACTCACACAGTGGGTCCAGCTACTAAGTGGCCAAACCATGATTTGAATCCAAGTTAGTCTGGGTATAAAGCATCAGGCTCTCTATTGCTCTGTGTTGTAATTCAAAAGGGACCTGAAAAGCTTTGGGTTGAATTAGTCTCAATTAAGCATTTATTCTCTGAAATGGCCAGAGAACTTCTCTGGCCAACAGGGTGCCTGATGAAGTGGTAGTGACATTTGGTTTTGGCATTTAGCTAAAACAGACTGTTAGAAAAATTATTTGGCCACTTTGACGGGAAAAGATCACACATTTTGCACTTTGTACTATAAGATACCACCTTAAGTGATGCATCTTTTAAAACTGAAGTTTATGTCTCTATACTTGACATTCTTTTTTTTGTTTTAAATTTCAGATTAATATGAAGGTACATGTGTTTTGGTTACATTGTTTTCAATTCTAAGGTAAAGTTCAAGTTGTAGCCCTTCACCTAGGAGGTGTGCTGAACACCCTCAAGTTGTGTTGTGTATATTACGCAGGATCCCACCAATTGTCCTTTGCTCTCCCACCGCTCCCCTCCCCCTTGCTAGTCTATACTTGTGTTTTTTCCTTGGTGTGGGCCTGTAGTTGTTTATTGGTTTCATATTA